CTTTTGTGACAATGATTTCTCCCTATAGTGGTGATGCAATCAGAATGACACACCCACATTCCGACCAGTGTTTGATTGGACGTAGCTAGACATCCGCAAATCAATATTATTGAAATCTTACAACTTGGAAACGAGATGATGCAATACGCGTTGGGGAGGTTTTTGAAAGTTAACGAAACAATTATATGATGATGCAATAGATTCTTTTTCCCAAATTTCTTAAAATATTGTAGGCCCTATTTATGTCTGCTTATTTAGACCCATCTTGATGGCTATTTTTATTCTTCAGACGGCCAGGGGAGAGTTAGAAAGATAGATCTGCCTTTCGTGTTTTCATTGATTCAGTTGTTAACATTTTATACACTTTTCGAAAGTTGAACCATTTAACATCCAGCGATGTTGCCGCAAGACAAAGGCCTATAATAGTCGTTCGGATGGAACGGAAACCCAAGGTCTCGTGAAGCCTACTTATTGGCGTGCAACTGCAAGTACAAGAAGTAGATGACTATTGGCAGTTGGAATTCGAAAGAGTAGGCCTACTGAGTAGGCGGCGGTAACGCCAATGTCAGGGAAAATTTCCCTCCTTATAGCACACTGCACACTAGCTGTATGTCGTATGCCCGTTTTCATGAGTCCAGTCGGAGCAGAACAGTGTTAAACCCTTTTTAAATTATTCGTTACTTATACCTATCTAAAGTTGAACAATAGGTACCTGCAGGTACTAATAAGCCTATCGACATTTCTAAATTTTGGGCCTACGTGGTAGTAGGCCTATTAATGCGGTTGTACCTAAAAGGTGTGACCTGTACTTAAAATACCTGAACCAAAACACTTAACCCTGAATACCCCGTATGCCCGTCTTATAGCAGAACAGTAGGTCGTTAAAACCTATTTTATTTTATACTTTTCTGGACCAGTCGGACTATTGAAGATAGGCATTATGCAGAGTGCTATGACAGAAATTTTCTATGGTCAGTGGCAGGACGAAGGGTTTGACAAGGGATAAGATATAGTCGTTCGGGTGAAACGAAAAATTGAGGCCCCATGTACATATTGGCGTGCACGTAAAAGACACCCAGACTGTTGGGATGTGTTATTTCATTGTAAGGGTGAGTGCATATGTCATTGTCAGCGTGGGTGCCTTATTTCATTGTCAGCGTGTGGATGATACATTTCATTGTTGGGTGGGTGTGATCATCAATTGTAAAAATGAAAATAATAGATATCGACGGACTATATTATAGTGAACCCGCGGACTGGTGAACCCGCGATATAGTGAGCATTCGCGAGACCTAGCCGCTTCGCTTATCTATAATTCAACAACCTACCTGCAATGTCAATTGAGCCGTACGTGTGATATGCCGGAATGTCTTAGCTAGTTCTCTGACCTTTCCATTGTCTATTTTGTCATTGTGTTATTTTATTATAGATGACGCAACATCGTGTAACACCGTGAAACCAATGTTTGGATAATTATATTGGGATAAAGAATGTCGAAATAAAGAGCAAATCGTTTTATTGTTCGGAATTCTAAGGCATAGTAGACCTCCTTGTTAACTTCCATATAACAGTTTGTCAAACATAGACCTTATAATAATACATGATCATGCTGATGCAATATAATCTAATTTCATTGCAATTGCAACCCAATCGTCCTAGTTGTCTGTCAGTACCGGTACATGAGAAAACTTGCTCAAAAAACAACCCAATAATAAATAGGGCCAGGTGAATAGATGAAGTCATGTAATACTAATAATTTAAAATACCAAGATATTATTATAAGCATTATAATTTTAAAACTATAAATAAATACTTTATTAAAGACTTAAAACTACCTTCCATGTTTATAAAAACTTTTTAAAGAATTAAAAATACTTATCATACGGAAGCGTATAGGGGCCATGCAAATTTGTTTAGAAGACCTCGAGATCCTGTTGTCCTGTGTTACTTTTTCGAGATATGATATTCTCGAAATTCTCCCTCCCATCCACGATCTCAATTTAATATTCTCGGGATCTTGACATCCTGTGTGAATTTTCTCGAGATCATGAGTATTTTTATACTCCCGATTTTCAGCGCTCCGCTTCGTCACCCCCACACCTTTTTTCCGAAACCTTGTTAACACAATAGAGGCTACAGTTTTTAATTGATTTTGTTTTTAAAATGTGGTGTGAAGTATTGGAGCCTATCGAGTTTCGGTACTCCGCAAACTTCTGTTCCAGAGTTAAACTCCTTATCCGTACACATTGTTAGCGCGATTGAGGCTACAGTTTTCAATATTCAGCGTTCGGCTACTTTCTGTTCAAATGCCTTCTAACATCATAGAAGCTGCACTTTTTAAAGTATTTCTTTCAAATTTGGCGTGAAGCATTGGGGTCATAAGATTTTCAGGGCTCAGCTATCTTCTGACATATGTTCCGAAGTTACATTCTATTTTCCGAAAACCTTGTCAACACCAGTTTAATTGCGGGACCCCTTTAAATTCGGTGTTTACGGGTGCAACACGAGGAAGAAAATATTCCAAATGCACGACATAATGTGTACACGGTGGACTTCGTGTTTTCGAATAATCCGAACGACCAGTCAGCCCTGGAGGTGCGACCCTTGATTTAACTAAAATCCCGAAAATTTGAAGGGCTAGAACGGGGCAGTTTTTATTGTTTTTTATCAAATGAAAGTAGACATAGGAATAGAAGCAATATTTAATGTTATTTTTTTATACACGCATTTAAAACAAAGCACTCGCAACATTTATAACAGACGAAACAGAGTTACGCATTTCATAAATTTTTCGGCTATACTCTTGTGACAATGATTTCTTCCTCTAGTGATGATGCAATCAGAATGACACACTCACATTCCACCAGTGTTTGATTGGTCGTAACCATAGAGTCAATGTATACACCTCCATGGTGGTAGCATGGCATCACACTGATCCGCAGTGAATATTTGCTTGGCCGCGACAATCACTGATAAGGATGACATTGATGCGGCTTAATGAGCTAGAAATATTAACTTTTTTCCTGCGACAAATTAAATTCTAAAACATTTTTTGTATATATTGGAAAAATAAATAAAGGCGTTTGACGTATTAGTAGTTAAAAATTATTTCCGATTTAGTGTAAATGGGTATTAAAATGACTAAAATGCAGCATTCTCTCCGAAGCAGTTATGTCTTATGTAAACAATGCACGCGCCATTCAGCCAATGATTCACACCGCGTGCTGTGACAGCACGTCTTAAGGCAGTCATCTATGACAGAGATATTATACGAGACTCGTAATTCTCTGTGAAACAGATTGGCATGGCATCCGCAAATCAATATTATTGAAATCTTACAACAAGGAAACGAGATGATGCAATACGCCTTGGGGCTTTTTCTTAAACTAAACGAAACAATTATATAATAATGCAATAGATTTTTTTACCCAAAATTTCTTGAATATTGTATTTATGTCCGAAATGTCTGCTTGTTTATTTATTTGGTGGCTATTCTGCAAACGGCCAGGGGACAGACATAAAAATGGTTAGATCTAGTCTATTTCATAAGGCCAACTTCAAGTTTAGTCAAAGGTCACGAGTGCCAATTTCAACCCTAGTCCCTAACCCAACCCCGCGCCTAGCCCTAACCTACAATCTCGCCAACAAATATCACGGGCCTCAACCTTATTTACATCTCAGCGACCTGACGAAATCTTGAGTTGGCCTTAAGAATAAGATCTAGCCCAGAAGTATAGACCTATCTATATGCATGCAAGACCTTTAGCTGTCAAGGTTATTCATATTTTATACACTGTTTGAAAACTGAATCATTTAACTTTCCCAAGGCGCACCGACCTTAAAATTTGAGTTATTCGCTACTTATCTAGGGGGGTGGGTGGGGTGGGGTGGAAGTGTGAATGGTTAGCTGTGTCATAAAGTCTGTCATTGAGTCAACTGGCGTGGTTTCGATTCCCCGGTTGTACGTGACAAGGAGTAGGGTCGCCTGTCCAACCTCGTGGGTTTTCACCGGGTCCTCAGGTTTCCTCCCACTGCTAAAGCCCCCTACGCGCAAGCGAATTATGGAAATATTATTGAACCATATGTTAGTCCCGAAGTGACCTATTTTGTGTGGAGTGGACGTTAAACCCCACTTCTCCCCCTCTCGCTACTTATCTATCTAATTCTAACGTTGTGCAATTGACCTGAGGGCAGCCTATCGACATTTCTAAATGATTTATTGCATTTGATTACGTAGAATAACCAGGGTCAAAATTTCTCCCATAGATGTTTGTTAATTTGGCGAGACAAAAGTTACTTTGAATATGCTATATAAAATCTATTAGGGTACCGGTACTGTAGGGGTCTAACCGGCCAGTGGTGTACAATTTATTATCAGATATCAAAGATACCTTCCTGTGTACAAACTGGGTGCTTTGAGAATACATTTGGACTAAAAAACATATTCAAACTAATTAATCTATCAATATTTTGCTTCAAATCCTTCTCAAAACATTGTATTCGCCAGGGAATACGATTGCTATAAAAAACGTATTAAAAGAAGTCACTTGCGAAACCGGGTCAGAATTCATTGCATATACAAGACGATGTTGTCTTTAATCGCGTTCCATTTATCGAAACCCACTTAAATTCTCGGATTATCCATTGTCCACGTCTTTTCTGTGTTTTTTTTTTTTATCTCAGAAACTGTTTTACGTTTAAGCTCACCATCAAGTTTATCAACATATACATCAAGCATTCACTAACGCTGAGAGATCAGACAGTCTGCGCGTGCAACCTTTGACGTCACTCGAGCAGACATCCCTTATCGTCGGGTTGCCGGTTAGAGAAACACATGTTTGTCCCGTATGCCCTCCATGGGTGTTTTTCAGGGAATCCCATATTTTTCTAGTAAGATTTGGCGTCTATACTTTCAATATATACCAAAATTGCCATACTTTTATTGGAAATAACCACCAGATAAATACTTTTGTGGGAAAGTAACTTTAATTCATACTTACACACTATGCAAATTGCTATAAGCCTTGTAGCCATAGCAGGAATTTCACAGTCAGGAAAAAACGGTTGCAATATATACACACAACAGATTAAACTTAAGGCTGCTATACCCACGGGACAAATTAACAAAAAGTTGATCCATAAAATAATAAATCCCATGAAGTCACCAAATGCTCTTTTAACATAAATATATTCTCCACCTGACTGGGGTATGGAAGCCCCTAGTTCTGCATAGCACACAGCACATAATGTATTATAGACGCCACAAATAACCCACATAAATAAACTGAATCCCACTGATTTTACATTCATTAAAATTCCAACAGGTGAAACAAAAATTCCAGAACCAATTATGATTCCAACAATAATTGATACACTTTGAAATAAAGTAATTTGCTTTTTTAGTTCAATTTTCTCTGATATTGTTGATTGAGACATATAGGGTACTGCTCTTCCACGCCCCATATTTAGAAACTTAGTTGAGAACTGATAAACACCAGCTACAAAAGTCAAATGAGTGTAAATAATTTACCGATACCAACCGTAATAAATAAATAATATCCAGTTTCAGAATGACAATTTGTCAGTTGAGCAAATCTTTTACTACGTTTGGATCACTTGATCTCGTTTAAACATTAAGAAAATCTAACATATAACTTCTCCGGTATAAATGTAGTTCGACAATTCTCTGAGATTTCTGTGGTACGGAAATGATGCAACATCGTTTAACAATGTTTGGTCAATTATATTGGTATAAAGAATATCCAAATACAAGGTAACTAGGTGTACTCCATTGTTCAGAATTCTAAGGCAAGACAGGCTTACTTATTAAAGGACAATATTGGTGTCAGTCATTATAAAATATGTGATAGAGCTCGTTAAATACATCCTAAATATAATTTTAACACAGAGATCATTGCTACGGGAGATGTGTAACAAGCACGTGAAGAAACGGGAAGTGACGTCAAACATGACAAACACGAGTTGTCCTTCTATATAACTGACTGAAGTAACGAGCGATGACAGACAAACGATCGAATTTCATTTCACTGATAATTCAGTTGAAGATGAAAAGTTGTTATATGAGACGATGAGAGGATATCTGACAATTCAAAAAAAGAATTGGGTGTCAGTAGATAAAAGATAACGAACAAATTAGAAAAAGTCAGTGCATCACCATGTTTTTATAAAGAACAGAAGAAATAAAAACGGGGGAATGCACGGGATTTTTCTATTTTTCTCGTGTCCCTTATGTATTTAACCAGTTCTATCACATATATAATAATTACTGACACCAATATTGTCCTTTAACTTTGTTGTATAGCTGACGCAATATGATTTTATTTCAATGCAATCGTCTTAAAGATACACTTCCGCGTACAGACTGTGTGATTTGATGGTAGATGTTTGTTAATTTGGCGAGACAAAAGTTACTTTGAATATGCTTTATAAAATCTATTAGGGTACCGGTACTGTAGGGGTCTAACCGGCCAGTGGTGTACAATTTATTATCAGATATCAAAGATACCTTCCCGTGTACAAACTGGGTGATTTGAGAATACATTTGGACTAAAAAAATATTCAGACTAATTAATCTATCAAACATTTGTTCAAATCCCTCTCAAAACTTTATATTCGCGGGGAGATACCCCAAGCTATAAAAAAACTGTTTTTAGAAGCCATGTTTGTCATCAAACTTCATTTTGGGAGAATCCATTTTTCAGAATGTATTTTTCATTGCTGTCCATTTACCATAATTATAATATATTGAGGCCTAAGTAAATTCTACTGTCGTTTAATTGCAGAGTCTTTTGTACGTTGACATCCTTCAATGTTCCCCAAACCGCCTAACCATTTGATCAAGAAATAACAACCGCTCCCTCGGTCACACTGGCACATAATAAGCTGGCCGTCAACATTCGGGATGCCAGTTAGACCCTGACATTTTTGCCCAATGCTTTGCCCAGTGGGTGTTTTTCGGATAATTCAGAATTGTTCTTGTAAGATTGGGCGTCTATATACTTTCCATATCTTCCAAATTTGCCATTACTTTATTGGAAATAACCACCCGATAAATAAATACTTTCGGGATAATGTATCTTTAATTAGTTGTCTGTCAGTACATGTGAAAACCTGTTCAATGAAAAGCTATTCAAAACACCACCCATTAGAGCCATATGAATAGATACGCATTATTATACGCATTATTATAAATCTACATATAAATACATTATTAAAGAATTCATATAGCCTTCCATGTTTGTTAAAAAAATAGAACCAAACAAGACAATTACACTTGTTGTATGGAATGAAATGAAATGGGGTTTAACGTCCTACTGTTCTTCTCCTATACTGGGCTAATGAAGACGGGCATACGCCATACAGTGTGCTATGAGGGAAATTTTGCCCGGGCAGCGGCACTATCGCCTACTCTTATATCGAATTCCAACTGCCAGGGGATCTTTTGCGTGCATAACTTGGTGTATGGGCGATTAAGAAATGTTGAGATAAATGTCGACTGTATATATAGACAACTATTTTAATACTTACTAGCAGGATACCCGGCTTCGCTCGGGGGTCATAACTCCGAAACCGGAAGTGGTAGACTAACGCCACCTGGCCTATGTTACTCCCCGGTCCGAGCTACCCCTTTACCCCAAATTTCAGACTCAGGGCAGACCTAGTGTAGCCGCCAACCCCGAACAGACCGGCTTCGCTCGGGGGTCATAACTCCGAAACCGGAAGTGGTAGACTGACGCCACCTGGCCTATGTTACTCCCCGGTCCGAGCTACCCCTTTACCCCAAATTTCAGACTCAGGGCAGACCTAGTGTAGCCGCCAACCCCGAACAGACCGGCTTCGCTCGGGGGTCATAACTCCGAAACCGGAAGTGGTAGACTAACGCCACCTGGCCTATGTTACTCCCCGGTCCGAGCTACCCCTATACCCCAAATTTCAGACTCGGGGCAGACCTAGTGTAGCCGCAAACCCCGAACAGACCGGCTTCGCTCGGGGGTCATAACTCCGAAATCGGAAGTGGTAGACTAACACCACCTGGCCTATGTTACTCCCCGGTCCGAGCTACCCCTATATCTCAAATTTCAGAGTCGGGGCAGACCTTGTGTAGCGACCAACCCCGAACAAACGGGCTTCGCTCGGGGGTCATAACTCCGAAACGGGAAGTGGTAGACTAACGCCACCTGGCCTATGTTACTCCCCGGTCCGAGCTACCCCTATACCCCAAATTTCAGACTTGGGGCAGAAGTAGCCGCCAACCCCGAACAGACAGACTTCGCTCGGGGGGTCATAACTCCGAAACCGGAAGTGGAAGACTAACGCCACCTGGCCTATGTTACTCCCCGGTCCGAGCTACCCCTATACCCCAAATTTCAGACTCGGGGCAGACCTAGTGTAGCCGCCAACCCTAAACAGACCGGCTTCGCTCGGGGGTCATAACTCCGAAACCGGAAGTGGTAGACTAACGCCACCTGGCCTATGTTACTCCCCGGTCCGAGCTACCCCTATACCCCAAATTTCAGACTCGGGGCAGATCTAGTGTAGCCGCCAACCCCGAACAGACAGACAGACAGACAGACAGACAAACGACAGTCACAAATATATATATATATATAGATAGATAGATAGATATTATTTTAATGTTTTACCTAAGTGGGTAAGACGCTGGCTCGCTAGCCTGGAGGTCGGGTGTTCAATCCCTGCATTGGCCCAGATTTCCCGGCGTGGTTCCCCTTGTCAGGGATGCAAGACGGAGGGCCTGACAAGGACAGCTGTCTAGTTGTTCAGATGGGACGAAAAACCGAGGTCCCGTGTACATATTGGCGTGCACGTAAAAGATCCCATGGCAGTTGGAATTCGATATAAGAGTAGGCAAAATTTCCCTCATAGCACACTGTATGGCGTACGCCCGTCTTTAGTAGCCCAGTTTAGGAGCAGAAACGTAGGACGTTAAACCACATTTCATTTCATTTCATTTAATGATTTACCTTAAATCTATGAAAACGAAACAAAAAATATCTAAAATGTTTTTAAATTTGTCCATTTTAGTATGCCTGTTTATACGTTTATCAACACAGGCATTGACTGTACATAACATGTACGATGTGAATAAATATCTTTATAACAAAAAAAGAAGATAATTATTGTGGTTTTCACCTCGTTAATAACTACCAGCGCTCGTTCACATACCTTTCCTAGGAGGGGGATCAGATATTTAGGAGATAAACACTTCTTGTTTCGTAAATAGAGGGGTGTTATTGTCCAAAAGACATGTCCTGAGATCATTAGGACCCAAGACACCCCTCTAAATGCGAAACAGGAAGTGTTTATCGTTATTGTAACATGCTATTTTAGCATTTTAAAAGAAATTACTAAAACAGAGGGGTATTATTGTCCAATCGAGGGTGTCTAATTGACCAATCAAAACGCAAAATTCACCCTTAAGCATGTTACAATGTACCACGTAAACTATGCAAATGGACATCATGAGTTCAGTCCATGAACTGTCTTTAAAGGGATTCACATAGGCTTTGTCTATTGCCCAATCCTTATTCAGATTTTATCTCTATAAATAATAATGCTTATTTTTAAAACACAATGTCCCAAAGGGCTCGATATTCTCGCCTGCATCAACAAGCTCCATACATATTATCACAAAACATTATATTATACATTCATGGGTGGCGGATTTACAAATACGTTATACGTCGTGCTAATAAAATACGTATTTGAGTAAACATTGGCGTGATCTGAGCCTCGCCCCTTTAAACAATCGCTCAAACCTTTACGCCCCCCGCCCTCCATTGCACATAAACATCTTTTCTTCGGGATTCGTCCTATAACATGTGTGGTTGGGTTTAGGACATCCTCTGTATCCCCTGCGGTATCGTTTCATTCAGTGCCGGACTGGTGGGCGCGGCGAAGGCGCGCGAGCGTCAGAGGGGGGCTGGGGGTGGGTAGTCTCTCCCCAGGAAAATTTTGAAAATTGACAACCGCAAACCCATTTTCAAGGCATTTCAGACCATAGCAGTCTTGTAGTACGTTTTTTTCCCATCTTTTCTTTCTCCTGTCCTGTGTCCTGTCCTCTCCTTCCTTCTTTCTTTTCTCCCCCTCTCCTTTCTTTCTCTTTTCTTTTTTCTATTTTTCTATTTTTCTTTTTTCTTTATAGGCTTAGGCCCACTTTTTTTTCACGGACAGGTGAACCCAGTCCGGCACTGGTTTCATTCTAATCCACTAATCGGAACGATACCACTTGGGATATCGAGGATGGAGAAAGAATCGCGTGACAGTTGAAATTCGAAATAAGAGTAACCCTCATTTTATAGCATACTGCATGCCCATCCCCATTAACCCGGTTGGTGAAGAAAAGTGTAGCACGATCACTGCCACATATCTTTGTTTTAGCCTGATCGTCTAGGGATTGGTTTGACTCTAGACTGGCTACATTTGTACATGTTTGCATCTCTCTTCTTAAAGTTACAATTTCATATTTTCTAAGAAAGTCAAAACATAATTATTTCTATGTCTTTTGCTCAATAGGTTGTCAACTCACTATTATACGATCATAGGTTATCTTTCTCACACTTAAAAATCTTCACACCGGAAATAATAACACAATTCCCTCCCAATTACCTCCCTTGTTTTCCTATTCCCCACCATGGAATAGCTATTTTCAAACGTTTGAATTAGAAGTTGAAAATGATATTTTTGCCAATTTCTCAACTGACAATAGTGAATTATAGGATTAATAGGATTATTCTTTAACAAGGTAGGACT